TAAAAACTATGGCACCGAAGCCAAAGGTAACTCGTAAGCCAAGTGAGGTCGTAAGGTTTGACAGCTTGCCGTATTGAGTTATTACTGACATTCAAAGACGAATTAGTTTTTACGTAAGTAAATATCTAATTGGCCATGTTCATTTTTAAGAGAAACTGATAATTTTAAGACCTATCAAGACATAAGTTGCTACAGTTTTTGTAATGAGACCTAACAAAATGTAATAAAATTTGTATGTGAGATTGTGGATGGATTAATTGATTTATACTGTTCCAAGGAATCCGAGAATGGTTTTTCATAGTACGTTTAAATTACTAATGATCTCCAGATATTCAAATTATTATTAGAAATAATAATAAAAGATTACAAAGGAAGAGGAAGACCAAAGAAATTATGGATGGATTGTGTGAAAGAGGATATGCATAAGGAGGTGGTAAATTAAGATATCACAGCTGATAGAGATGTATGGAGGTGTACATATTGTGGCGACCCACCGTAGGGATAAGGGCAGGTTGATGATGATAAAAGTAATGTACTTTTGTCGGAAATTTATCAAAACATCAATAACGTAAATTGCTGTACTAACCATTAAAACGTATTTAAAACATGTTAAATGGATTACTAGAATAAGCTACTAATATATAACGATAACAAAAGCCTATTGCGAAAAAGATAATTCTATTCTACATTCCTACTAGAGAAGTTAGTGATAAATGTTTTAATCATAAATAGATAAAAATTGGTATCGGCAGCTACAAAGTAGTGGCGCAAAATATAATTGTCTAGTTATAAATATTTTAAGGCCTATTGTAACCATTAAATAACAGTAAAATAATTCGTTTTTCTTTGTACGTCAAATCTATATAGATTAATAACCTCATAAAACATATGAAGTCATTGTAAAAAATGGAACGCAGGAGACATAATAAATAGCAATGAATAGATGACACGACAAATAATTTCAAAAACTTCATTGTCTGATCACTTATTCCGAAAAAGGTGGATAATTTTCCTAGGAAACAATGCCGGGAAAAATGACGGTACGATCGTACTCTAGTTTGCCAGAGAAGCCATCCCGCGGCAGCGCAGACGGCTGTATGTAGGTTGAACACAAACCAGGTCAACATGCACTCACTACGGCTTACAGATTTTTTTATAAGCATATCATTAAATTTTTTCATTTTTTCCACTAATAAAATAGAGTGCTAACCGAGTGTTGCAGGAATTTTGCACATCTTTAAAAACTCTCGTCATTCAACAGGTTAAAGTGAGGTTATAATGTTCCATTTGCTCAACAATGTAACTGACGGTATGCAAAAGGTTTTTGTGTACTACATTTGGATTCAAAAATATTTTTTAGTAATCTATCATGTTTTTGTTAAGACTCACCAGTTACAAAAACAAAGTTTGACCTAAAAAAAAAAAGTTTGACCTATCATTTTGGTATTTCAATTTTAGTGTATTGTATACATAATTATTTGGTATTGTCTTTTGTAATGTTTATATAGTTTAGCCATTTCCTTAGTAATTTAATAAATACTATGCTCTTAGCGGTATTTTCAAATAATTACGACTTATAAATACGGCCCTTCATGAAAAGTGCGTACAACTCCCTGCCGCAAAAGGTTGCATCTGCGGTTTCTCTGGTGTTCCGGATGTCTATGGGCGTTCGATGAACTGATATTAGATACGCTGGTCTTTTAATATCTCCTTAGAAAAAATGCATCACTTTGTAACACTTATCTCTTTTTATCGTAATTACATTTCTTAACTTATATCCACATATTTTGCAATCAAGACAAACACTTTTGATAGCTACATTTCTTGTGATAACTTACTAATATTAAACAAGAATACTAATTACGAGACTCAAGGAGTAAATTAAATAACAAGCCCATAATTTTTTTTTATTTATAGTAGCGCAAATAAAAATTCATTGATGCTGATAAGTATTCGGTTAGTGATAACCTGATAACAGTGCATTGATAAGGAAGACGCTAATCGATTGTGTGAATATTTGTTACATATGCATTATTAAAAGTAAACTTTGCATGTGGCTGTTATATTTTCTTTGTAAAATTAGTACTGGCAACTATGATTTTTTTCTTTTTTGATTTCTTATCAGCCAGTAACAAAAAAAAACGATTAAATTCAAGATTTTTTTTAAACTTGTTTCCCTCGTTCCGTATTGTAAGTAGGTTCGCAAGTGAAATAAGGGCACAGACACACTGGCACGAACAATGTCGCTTGTGTGACACGACCTAGATTTGAGGCGCGTGTGCAGATCAAAGGTATCCTATTACTGAGACAATCTACAACTTCATTATGTAACTTCACGTAGTTTGTATAAAGCGTTAGAACTTAAATGACTGTCAGCGGTTGATATTATAATGAATAGCGTTAAACTATGTTAAAAGCGATTAGATTTAGCCCAACATACCTACGAAGTATTACGTCTTTATGTAACTTATTAGTCAGAAATTAAACTAAAATACAATCGGTTTACGATAATATTTTACATTAAACTATATAAAACACGTTTAAAAATCTTACTAATATTATAAATGCAAATGTTTGTCTAGATGGGTGTTTGAAGGTATCTCCAGAACGGCTTAACGGGTCTCGATGAAATTTGGTATACATATAGAACATAGTCTGGACCCACACATAGGCTACTAGTGTTTTTCTACGGAGTCGCGGGCGACGGCTAGTCTCTAATAAAAATGAAGTCTTCACGTAATTAAGACTTATTTGTTTTCACTTTGTATTTTGAATTATTAAGTTTTGAATATAAAAACTTAGCATAAAGCTTGAATCTAATATTTTAAAAACAGTCTTTCGTTTGCGCAGTCTATTCTAACCCGGGACTAATAATCCAGGCAGACTCCGTCATTGTATATAATGGTTATATAATAGTAAAAAAAGTTTTGCAAAACAACTTTGCAAATAATACATTAACGTAATAGCATTGTCTAACCAACATTACTGTCAAGAGGTCATCGCGATCATACATCGAACGGAACACGCGATCAAGTTACCCATAGCCTTACAAAGTTGTGGACATATGATATTGTTAGTGACTGTACCGTTTCAAGGTACAATCGAGGTGAATGGTGTTATTCCCATCGGTATTCTATATTATCATATAGGATGTAGGATAAAAGGCAAAAAAGAAGGGTGTTTATTTTTAATTTGATTTTCATAGACAACAGCAACACGAAAGGAACTGCAGATTGGCTATCGATTGCAAAAATATTGAAAACAACAATTTTAATTGTTCAGCAAGCATCTTACGTAACAGCGACAAAGATATGAAGATAAGGTTTTATTGCCTAGTTTTTAATCACACTGATATTTACTATAACGGACTGGTCTTATATCGTGATTGGTTTACGAATATTTTTTCTATAATATTATATTAAAAGTATATTTATTTAATGTCCACTAATGTAGTTTCAATTTCCAATTCAAACGAGGCTGAGCCGAATTAAATTAAAGCATTGATAAGTTACTCGATTATTATTTTATTAACCGTAGGGTTTTAAAACCAAAATCCCTATTAAAACATATTGTTACCTCGATTTTGTCAAAGACATAGGGATCCGCATTCGCATCATATGTTTTATATAGTGATTTCCCTCAGGAACCAATGATAAGTTATAATATTAGTTAAATTATAGTCTACAAGACAATATAATCAAACCTGTATCACTTTCCTCTTCATAATACAAGAAAACATTCCTACAAGTGTTCCGATAATTCTATATTAATGATTTCCATAACGCCCTTGAGTAAACGCAACTAGGGGACAGGTAACTAACTGTAAGTGCGCAGGCACACTTGTCGGAATCTAGATATGGCCGTTCACGTGGGGCCTGGCTGCACCCAATCGTAATAAACTCCTTTTTTAGTCACACCACTCAGGTCGGGTTTAGAACATTCGCAAAACGACACTGTAAGCTGTTGACTAAATTAATAAGAAAAGAGCCTAACTAGCATAATTAAAACACAATAAAATAATACGTGGGTAAATCAGTAGGATAGGAAATTCTTTATGCCTACCTCTCTGGATCATCAACCCATTTTAAACACCTTAATGCAAGAGGTAATAATACCTAAACATTTAATTCGTAATAGGATTCGATCTACATGTAAGAGTAAGCTTAAAGATTGTTATATTTCTTTTGAGTGAAACGTAACTTAATTAATAATTACAAAATCTAAAACGGCTTAGAATTAATTTTAATTTAAATCTCAACGAAAGTTATACTATAAAATATAATAAATATAATTTTCAATTTGAATTTAATAAACACATAATGGGATCTCTAAAGGGCACTTCCTACTTAGCAATAATTCTACACTGTCCCTTCAGAATGGATTGCTGTTGTTCTGTACCATGTACTATGTGCAATCATACTAACACATATCAAATAGGTATATATGTAGATGACTAAGTACGTACACTGATACCTTATAAAAACTAATTTTATTTCGCTGTCCCGGTAATGCTTAGGATGTCCCGTTAACAATGTTTTAGTCTAAATAATTTATTTTTCTAAAGAATCTCCACATAATTCATTGATAATTAAAGATTGAAAATGCACACATACCACCATCGATATTATAAAGGAGTATCGAATTCGAATCACCTCAATTTTTGTAAGGTGACATTATCTAAATTAATCTTAATGATGTTTGATTTGAGAATAAAACGGGCTGCATTTTCTAGACATTTTAAGTATCATATGTAGTTGTATAAATATTAACGCAAAATGTCTACAAATCTGAACGAATCGGCGAATCTAATCAGATTTTAATCAACTACAAGCTATAAATCTCAACACGACTGAGACTAACATTTTTTTAACTAGTTCTTAATAACTGTGATAAGATCGGTAGGCACAACAAGATCGATTATTTTATGACACCATTTAAGCCATTTTAATTTGAAAAAAAAAAAACGGTACATCGAGTAAATATTAATGTTTACTACTCACCACAAACTGACCGACGAAAGAAAATATCCAAAGCTAGCTCACAGAAAAACAACTTCTTTTCACACAAACATATGTTACACATAAAATTCCACTTATGTTTTACACTAAACAATTATCGAATGGTTTTTTTAATCACACGAAATCCAATTAAACTTCGAAATTGTATTGACGCGGGAGAGAGCAAGACGTACGCACACCCACCTCGCCGCGCTTATCAACTGGGACTGGCGAATGAGCGAGTGAATGAACGGAACGCACGCTCGACGAATGACACCGAACAAATACGATTGAAGTTAATTACAATAAATAGGATTAAAATGATGCGTTAAAAAACCTTAATATAGACTTTTTTACATGTAAAGTAAAATAAAAATTGAAGGTTATGTGAGAATTGAAAAAGCAAGTCACCTACTTTCTTTTACACCTACTTTATGATATATGTATGTAGTGTAGTGTATGTAGTTGGCAATGCCGCGAGAAAAGTAAACATTGCGTTGTATATTTCAGTTTTGGAATAATTGTTCTTATTGCATGTAACATTAAGATTTATTTTTATTTGTGGAATGTAGATATTTTCTGATTAGTTAACTGTTGGTCGGTGAATAAGTTCGTTTGTGTGAGATACTTGATAATCATTCAAGCAATTCGAGGTATGTATATATATATGTTTGTATTAGTGTATATACATTATGGAAAAGCTTGCATCAAATACTTTAACGATTAATTGACTTGTAGTACTTGTAAAATAGACGTATTTGTGAAAGACATTGGAATATATTTTTTTCAAAAGCAAAATAATTTAAAGTGAAAAAAAAACAATTTTATTTAAAAAGGATTTTATAAAATATGCCACTTGGCGTTCTTTTTCCGTACACATTCTCCAATACAACCTAATCCTTTGCAAGAATTCTCCCATGGAATTGAATATTAATTTCTGTATGTATCATATAATTTCTGTCAGCTGTCAATCTGTTCGCACACGGCTCCGTCATGGATGTCAGACAACACGCACTAGTAATTGAATAAGCCTACAGCGGCCATGGCGACTACTTCCAATGGATAGAAACGATAATATAAACAAAAATAATACAAAGTCGAAGCCCAGGGGGATAGACTTGGATTACAAGGATTTTATTTCGCATTATCTCGTTTAATAAAAGAAAAGGTGTGTACATTTTTTACAAATTTAACTTATAGTTTAGGTTACTTCGTAATTTGTTATTTACGTAAGACACATACGACAAAAGTTTGGCAAGATTTCGGTAATACGTGCAGTATTTTTTAATATTTTGAATAGTACTTTAAATATTGTTTCCTAGCGTGACAAAACTTGCAAAAAGCCGCCGCTAACAACGTTTTGGAGCGCTAAATAATTAAGCATTCGATCACGCAATGCGAAAACATAATAATTAGTTGTAATGAGCTTGTTGACACAAATGCGGACGTCAATTCGAGTGCCGCTGTTCGCTTTTTACGCATGCGGAATTGTATGCGTAAAAAGCGCGCATATGCGCATCCTACATTCGTTTTTCATAACTACTACAATTAACAATTGTAACTATTTAAACTAAATTGAAAACATCTATTTGACTAATAAAAATAGTCTACTTTTTACTTATTTCTACAATACCTTGACTTTAATACCTATTTCCTGAAAATCTGTAAAGAATTCACACAATATTTTTAATTGTTTCTCGTAGTTACGGGGGGAAACAAATCCAAAGACAAATTATTCACATACTCGATCACCCCAAGTAACACGCAGCCTCCGACCACTTCACTTTAAAATACGAGCGTGTGTTTGATTTTTTTTACTTGTAGTTCAAGTTTTTGTGACAACCCTAAGTGCACGCATAGAGCATATATGTACGCATAATGCACGAGCTACTCGGAATCCAACCGTAATAAAAAATTCCGTCCACGTCCCGTAATAGCACATACTTGCGTCAGTCTAGGCACGACATAGTGCATCACATGCCATCACTTTATTCCTTTGGACTGTTAAAAAAAATTAAAAATCTGCCATGTACCAGCAATTCTTAGACCAAATATGGGAAAATTATTCATTGTAATTATTCCACGTTTTCAAAGAATTCTGTGTTGTGTTCTTCGTCACATTTTTCCATCTTAATTTGAAATAAACGTGTTTTCAATTTGAACAATATATGGTTTATGGAATAAGATCTTAAATAAATTGTCAATCTACTAATTACAAGCATGCTTTAATTTTGTTGGATAGGTTACTATACTAGTTGGCTAGATTTCGGCGAAACCCGTATGTTTTGATATTAATCCATACCAATGGCATGCTTAAATAAGCTTTTATCAGAATAACGCGCCCGACACAGATTGACTGGATTAAGTAAGGGTTGGCAGTAAATCTAATTTATTTATGTTTCCGCGTGAAGCATGACCATGTGGATTAGCGAGTTGATTCTGGTTAATAGCAGTAGTAAATTATATGAGACATGGCATTTATTTTTTCCTAGTATATAATTACTCAAATGAGGTAATTTTTAAACATTTTACCATATTTTATCCAAATCTTGTGCCATATGCCTAATTTCTGGCAAATTAATACTTTAATCGGATGCCGCAATTCATTTATCTAACGTGCGTAAAATGCGTTTAACTTGATTAATATTTGCTAAGCCTTTATATTGAATAGCAATCGCAAATTAATGTTGACCTGACAATATTCGTCCGTCCGTCGTCCTAACTGTTCCGAAGCAATGTCCGCGTTGTTGGAGCCGGAGTCTACAAGTCTCAGGATCGGTCCAGTCCTCTCAGTACTCGATAGTTATTCGACTTCTCTGACTAAGGACACGAGCCTTGCGTGCTTAGAACTCTTTGCTGCTATGTAAACGTTTTGTATTGCTTTAATGTTCGACGAACATAGTTTAACCAAAGTTTATTTCATACACTAGATAAAAAACATACATTTAATTCTTGCCTATGATACGTTGAATTAAGCAAATTTTTCAATTTTAAAATTTATATGTATTCATATTTATATTTAATAGCATAATAGTTGTCTTCCGCGGCTCTGTCCATGCGGAATTAAAAAAAATTCCTAGTAGCCTATGCGTTCTCTCAAAACTATGTTCTCCATCCGTGTCAAATTTCAATGAGATCCATGCAGCCGTTTCAACAAACATCCATCCGTCTATCCACCTTAACATTCGCATTTATAATATTAGTAAGAAGTAAGATAGTAAATAATACAATTTACATTTTTAATATTTATTTTTATGTAAAACAATATTGCACAAGAAGCATTATTATTTATTCCACTTTAAAAGTAATCGCTAAAAAACCAATTGTAGTTTTTCATTTGTTTCTTGTTAGTTGATATAAATCTTCCTTAGGGAAGATTTATATCAACTTTTTTTCATTTCATGTTAACCGATTGGGTCACATCTGATTTCGTTTACCTGTAGGTACCGTTATGTCTGATCACTCAACCGCAACATTGGTATTGGAAGATGCAAGATTATCGAATCGACCGACAGAATCGAAGGTTGTGTGAGGTAACATTCATTGGTTACTCTGCGGTTTCAAGACGCAGTGCTTTTTAACAAACTAAACTAATGTAACGGAGCTCTGACTTCTCAATCGTGACTATCAACTCATTATAGACTTTGGATTGATACAAAAAAAAAGTACTTACCTTAATGAAAAAAAACAGCGATTTGTCGCCCCCATTTCCAGCGTATCCAAAATGCTTGGGTATTCCAGAATAACTAATGGATACGGTTGCTCTATTGACTTTGTTTGACTACTAGTTAGAAATACAAGTGTGAGACGTCCATTCTAACATCTGTTTTTTATATGTCACTATTGACCATACCTTTCTTGCAAATGATGCGTTACTATTATAATTATACTTCGGTATAGTGAGTATAGTATAAAGTCAAAGTATCGCACTGCTACAAACGGTAAGGTTCTTGAATTTTATAAAAAAAAATAAGAATCACAGTCGAAGTAATTTATAAGATTTTGTACACAACAATAATATCTATTAAAATACGCTCAAGCATCGCTTAACCAATGTGTTTATTCACATTTTATAAAGCTTAACATAAATCTATGTCTTTACTTTTATTCGTAAACAAGATTTTTAATTTACAGTCATAGGGTAGACAAAGTAACGTCCGCTAGAGAGCGTCGGAAGGTCATTGTGAGGACACGCGCGTCGACACCCACTCCACAAGCACTAGTCTGCGATGTGTCAGCTAAGCATATTGCTTAATATCCTTACATTTTGAGGACCTTTATTGAGGTAGGTTTTTTTCATTTTGTACTTGTGTTTCGCACGAAACGTTTGTGGACAAATGTTTAAGCTTGCAATTTCTCAAATTACAGTGATAGTTCTTATTATGAACTAGCATCGCAAGATTAATAGGGGCAATAAGAAATATATGTACTGAACGGGTAAGATATTTTTGGAAAAATGAAAAAAAAGACAACTACTTCGATAATGAGGTCACTAAGTTATAGGTCACAAAATTGTAACGATGTTATTTTTTATAACGATAAATATAATATAATATTGGACGTTGTTGAAAAACAGAGGGCCCTTGAGCAACACTCAAAACTGAGTCAGGACTTCGACGACTGCGTAGCCGCTGAGTGGGGCGAGGGGGGGTAATGAGAGTAAAAGGGAAGGGGGACACTCGAAGTCAACAAGTGCCCTCTAGACCACAGTTAATTACGACATTTTATAACAGATCAAAAGGATTCTTTCATTTTACTTTTGACACCAACACCAAAAGTTGAGAGGATAATTCAATATTTACAAAAGATTTTTTAAGGTCAAGGGTCGAATGAAATATTTTTAGAATTCATACTGTGACCTTTTTCTAACCCATTTGTATGGTCATGAGTAGTCGTGTGTAATCCAACTTTTAAGGTTTTATATAACCAAACACTTATACTGATATCTTGTTAACTACAATATAACTGGCCGGCAGGAAAAGCGTTCACTGAAAATGTAAACATTGAAAACGGAAGTGGGGTCGGAGCGGGCAATCAACGTTACGGAAGTGACAATTTGATGTCGTCTCTGGTGAATTAGTTCGCAGCGAGTGAGCTGCGAGCGGACTCAATATGAACAGCCAGTGCTCAATGCTTGCCATATTGCTACTTCCGGGTCCAGTCTTTAGTAGATTATTTTTAATCGAAAACTGAATGGATTTGAGTTCAC